CGAAGAGTGCCGGCGCTAGAAGCTCTATTCGGATCAAGCGGTTGGCGCCCGTTGAAGTAGAAAGTCCAGAACAGCAGCTAACGCGGTGGTAAGTCGAGGGGTGTCGGGGATACCTGCAACTATGAGGTTATAGATCTACAGTCCAAGTAGTTTGGCATAAAAAGAGGGCCACCACGCGCCCGAGCCTCGATTCCAATCCGAGGCAGAATGTCGGAAGGGATATGTTTTACTTTTTCCTTTTGTAATGTGGAATTTCGCACGGAAGTTTTCCTTTTCTATGATTCTGGGCAATAGGACTCGTCATGATTCAATACATGAAAGAGGACTGGCATGTTTCCAGTCAGCTAGTTGAGATAAGGTACTTGTAATTTATGGTGGTCAACCTGATCCGGCCCAGCCCCACTCGTGCCTATGTTCCTGTGGATTACGATGGGTGTCACTTTACCTAGCATGCTTTTAATTATTTATTATTCAAGTTTAACTTCTTATGCGGCATCTATTCACAGTACCATGAAGAAGGAGCGCATTGATTAGGGAAATGTTGCGATTTCATAGTAAGAGGAGCAGAAAGTATAGCTCAAAGAATATTGTTTCCATTGAAGTTACATGTAAAACGCGAATTTATGTCCGCATATCCTAGAGTTTAAGTGGGTATGCAAACAATAATTATTACAGTAAAAGGTTTTCACCACAGCTGACCACGAAACCATTGTGCGGGGAATAAGACAGTACTGACCCCGCACCATTAAGGCCATCCTATTTGTCGCAAAGTAGATGTGAACATATCTCTCATTGCATTTGCATCTAGTATCATACTATCCCGCACATGCAAATGCATGAGAGAATATCTCAACAGCGAAAAGAAATTAGAATGTAGAATACAGGATGTAGTAGGCAGCATATAGGGAAGTTGTTCATATTTGCAAGGAATGCCGATTATCGTAAGAAATGTGGCAAATTCCAACAGGAAAAGGCTTTTTAGCAAAACAAACCCTAGTGTCCTGTCACTGGTGACCAGAGTAAATCCCTGACCATCAATTGGTCCGAACTGTTTGTTTGGGTTCTACTGAGAGGTTCTCATTCCAGATTTCAGCTGTTCTCGATAGTATCTCCATCCAAGCCTTCTCCCCACTTCCCTTGAAGAACTGGTAGGTCCGGCACGCTGCTTTCTTCCACGAACGGTGTTCCTTGCCGCAGTTCGCGGAAGAAACCCCTTTTCTCGTACAGCCCCGAGTTTAGTGAGAGCCAGCGCACTCACCGCACTTGGCTGCCTTTCCATAACACGCCTATGTGTATCCCTAATGGCTATACTTGAAGCATTGCTTTGGTTGGTCCCATGGTGACCGCACTTGCGCGGTGAATAGCAATGCCTTAATTATAAGGCCATGTCGTACCACTTTCATTTGCATTGCCTCCGATTAGAGGCGGTCCACACTTGTTTCACGAGTGCGGCCATTTTTCTTTGACAGCTGGTGTTCCTTTCCATGGTGTAACTGTAGGGAGCACTTATCTGTTTCGTAATACCATTGACCTTGATTTTCTTGTACTCTGCTCCTGCGTCAAAACGCATAGTGTGATAGTTACCGAGTTGGTGATGAAAAAATCGATTTAATAAACTCTATGAAGAAGAGAAATCTAACTACAGCTACAAGGTACTTATAACGTTCAGTCCACTCTATGAGTCTCGTTGCTTATACCTTTTCCTTAGGTCGAATAATTACCGCACGGCTACGCATTGCCCATATTCACTGTGCTATGACATTGCTTCGATCCCAACAGTCTTATCCTCAGAGTCCTCAACAATGCGCTTAGGTATTCACCTAAGCTTAAACAACGGGTAAACCGTAACACATAATTTTTATCTTTAAACCAGTTTAAAGTTCCTTCTAATTTTTTTATTCAAGAAATCAATCTTTGACATCTTTCATAGTTTATATCGGATAGATCCTGCTTTCACGAATATGATTGGCGCGCTTGCAGTAAGCACAATACCTATTTGATCTTGGTGCATTATTCCTAGCTCCTTGTGTTATGTGCGCTACCGTCGCTGCCTCCTATTGTCTATTGAGGCTTGATTGTTTTTCCCTCAAAGTGTTTGCTGTCTGGCTTAAAGAAGTTGACGTATTTTATCGTAGAAAGGCAACCACACCTGCATAGCATCCATTCATTTCTGATTCGAAATGTCGTAATAAGCAATTCTTTTTTGTCATGTCCGAGGAGCCCTTCGAAGGATCAAGTGACGCTACTTGAGATTGCTTTTGGGTCAGCTCGTTTGCATATTCATCAACATCTGTCCCCTCACTTATCGAGAAACTCCAAAAATCTTAAAAGTGTCGATTGGCCTTAATTGGCCTTAATTTACGTATACGTAAGGTTAGTTCCATGCAAAACGAAAGGTACGAAAGTGAGGTGTGTTTTCTTGTATTATGTTGTCTCTATCTATGAACATTGCGAACGTGTAGTTCGTGGTATTGGCTGAGTCATCAAGACAATGGCTCAGCAACTGAGAGATGCACTAGGCTTGGTGCAGAGGAAATTGAACTATTTTCCGACACAAAGAGTATATCCACAACTGCCTCACTTTTTGGCTGATAGTATGTTTTTAGCGATATCCACATTAGGCGTGCAGTAGGTAAACTTTCGAGAATATTATACACTTCTTCAAGCACAACTTGAAGTAAATCCGCTCTCACATTATTGTCGCTTATCTTTGTGGATTTTTGGAGAGTTTTTGTTGACCTCGGCTCATTTTCTTCACATAATTCAGGCAAATCATCAGAGATAAACTTCTCGAGATTAAACCCATATAAGCATGTTGAAAATAATCTGCTCCATCTATCGTATGTTGATTTTTCCAAGATAGGTGCGTTTCTGATGCCTCTTAAAATATAGGCAGTCGATATGGTTTAAAACTAACTGGTTACGGCTCCAGTTCTAAGAGGGTGGAATGAACAGGACAGGTGTTCAAAAATTTAGACACAAGAAGTACAGATTCTATCTTTGTCGACTCGGAAGGTTATTAATTTAATTCAACGTTATCTCAGCTGTTCAGAGAGTTGATCTCATAATCTGTTGAAATGAAATAACAGTTGTTATATTAATAAAGACTGGATGAAATTACAATACACACTTCCTATCTTATATACATCATTCATAGTCCACGAGTAATCCAGCTCTGTAGAGCTGTCACTAATGTCTTCTGCTGGTGTCCTAAACGGAGTGGGTGATTTGTCTTCCTGCCTCTTGTTTAATATCCGAAGTTACAGCTGGCATGGCTGCAGGGTTCCTTGTGAAGGTTATATTGGAAAGTTATATCGAAGGATGAATTAAATTTGGAAATGTATCTTCTGATGCACATCCTGCTATGGTCTTAGAATTACACAGGATGTAAGTGGGAATACAAAAAGTAACCCAAGTTTGATATCACGTGACCTGGGATCTTCAATAAAAGTTTCGTAGACTTCCTGCCCAGCCTGTAACCACTAACAGTCAGGTTAATATATGACCTATACCTTATTTACCCCGCAATAATATTGTATATTCTAGGTCTCGACAGTAACCAGCGCGTTCTATTACTTGTAAGGCCGGGAATCCGAGCCTTGGTCGCCGTCTCGATTTCCCTGATTATGGCGTAGTTATTGGCATCTCTACCGCCCTTATTTCTTGTCTATAGTGGGATTCCGGTGACCTCAACAGGAAAATCCTGCCACAAAATTTTAAAGTCGGCTTGTTGATGCATGTAAAGCGTCGCGTCTCTATAGGACGCTGAGTGGATAAACAGCTCGGTGTCGTTGCATCGCATTTGTTGTATCACATATTCAACTTGAATGTGCTCTTTTGCCTTTGATAGCAGCTCATGAGGCTGCAATTTTTCTGCTCTATTGATTCTAATGCGTACTGCCGTTTACGTTATTTTTAGAACTGCTACCGATGCGAATGTCTTTGTTGGCGACATCCTCTAGGCCACTCCTTGTTCAAATTGCGAACGGGATCTACGAGGCTCTTCTTGACACCTCCTCGAGCGCCATCATCCTCTTTTTGATTAGAGACGGGATCTGAAATACCGCTGTCCAGGACTTCTTATGGCAGTTAAAAGCCTTCACGGTATCAAAGATATCCTCCACTGTGGGTAAGTCCTCTATCTCGCCCATCACGATTCGTCTGACATTTATCATTGGTTTCCCTATGGTTTCAAGATTCCTATCCTTTGGAGCTGTCTAAGCTCCGCTGCCGTCATTTGTGGTGGACATTGTTGCTTTTTGCGACTCATCGAAACCGCTAGATCTACGCACACCCGCCATATTGAAGCACGGAAGTCGAATTGCTGAGATGAGGGCAAAATAGTTGAAAAAAATAAGATTCACAATGTCAAGTTAATCATGAGCGCAGCTTTGTGTTAAAAATGATATCTTTCTTAGTTTTATTATTGTTTCACTAAAGGCTTTAATTATAGGATCATAAAGTACGTTAGGATTTTTCAGCGACCCATATTCCACTTCTTTATCTCCAACTAAAATTTGGTAGAATACCCATGCCAGCTTTTTGATATCTCCAAACTTCGGCAAGAATATTTTAACAAATTTTTCTTTTGATTTCATTAAAACTTAAGATTGCTTCGAGGTAAAATAAGTCTCCCAATTATTTGAGGACCGTCTCTATAGATATTTCGGGAAAAAACTGAGGATCGTAGCTCATGCATCCGACTATGAGAACGTGTTGGTATGACTGGGTTTACTTTCTTTAATGCATTAAAGTGCAAAAAACAAGTGATTTATTTTTCACCTTCCTCCCAAAAGGTCTAGGTCCAGTACTTCTAAAGGGGGCCCAGCTAGCCCCCTACGCCAATATATGATATTACAAGCCTGCGTATTATACACTTATATATCGGTAAAATGATGTTACATACCGACAGAACTTTGAAAGATGATTCAAGCTCATAACGATAGGTTTGCTATAGGCTTAATTCTTCTCGGGCGATGGCTCGCAAGCTCCAATGTCATCTACCTTGTGAGACCGGTTATATCTCTTGATAGATCCTTCTCTTCGTAGTTCTCACGTAACGAGGACAAGTCTGAATCAATAATTACTTTCGTTACACCCGTTTTATCGGGTCCACTCAGAAAGATGTTTCTTGCCGTAATTTCACCGTGAACGATATTAATTTCGTGCAAATAACGATACCCAATGATGGAATCACGTATCCTACTTACAATTCCAGGACCGTCAAACATGACTGAAGGGAGCGACAGATCGATGAAAGTTCGACAAGGGTCAGTTCTCGAATCAGGTAAAGTTTCCTGGCCAAAATTACCTCCACTTTACCAAGGGAGAGACATTCTTACCCAGCATTAAAAATCCAAATTTTATCTTTCGATAATTTATCATTCTTTCAGTGCAATTAGATTTTATAAAGGTCCTCTGAATTCTTTATTTAGATTATGCCAGACTCTCTGTTTGTACATTTTAGATTTTCTTTTTCACCATTCTTTGTAAAGGAGCTCCAAGAAATCTTGATCAGGTACTCCTAGTCTTTAGTCTTGAAGCACGTGCTTCCTCGCAAGGCTATATTCTCCATTTGAGCGATGGGCCTAGTAAATACCTCAAATATTTTCGTTGTACTATTGCCATCCGTGGTGGTAACGAAACATCGGTCGGTATCATCGTAACTAATGGCTGGATCTCGCTCGAAGTATTCGTCGCTCATGGGCATATTCGACGATATCCCTTGAACCAGTTTTTCCTAACTTTTCGACTCGTCTATTTCACCAGAGCTATGTGACCCTGCCAAATTCACTATCTAGACCTCTGCGTACTTTTGTGCAAGCAAATCCCATGAAATTGCCACAACAGCTGCGAGTAGAATATTTCGCGCACGTATCTCATCATCTTGTTGATCTTTGCGACTACTCGTTTCTCGGACGAGATTATTTCGCCAAAGACTCTCACATCTCTCCATTTATGTACCAAACAATTCGCGATCTCGGCACTCTCGATAAAATTCTACTTGCTGTATGCTTGAACCACTCGTAAATAGGTTATTTTTTGTGGCATGGAAAGTTTACCCAGGGTAGGTAGATTATTACGTTTTCTATGAACAGCAAGTTAAAATTATTCTGTAAAGTTCTATTTCCTGATTTGTTGATTTATGAAACGATATCAAAATGAGTATAAATAGATTCTCATAGATGTTTCGACCACGTTAAATGAGAAAAAATGATAGCTTTCCCAGATACGTCTCGTTAGATCAGACCATGGTCTGTCTTTAAAACTCGAGCCCCCTTATTTATCGACTTCTTCGAAAATCTTGTCTCAAAGTTCGGATTTGAGCGCATCTGTAAGAGAATTTGATTTTTTGCCGTAATTTGCAGCTTCTGTACTGCTTTTCAACTTAGCGACCGACAGCTACTCAATCTTCATTAGAGGAGTTGATTTCAATTATGCAATGGCGTTCGTTGTAATATTTATTTGCGGTATCGATAATGATAGACCGAGTGTCATCGTCGCTGGCGGAAACCTTGATCTATGATTATATCCCCAGATGTGGAGACAGAATCTTCCTCGGAGATCAACATACCACAAATTCCTATAAGCTGGCTTCCGGGAACCTTCATGGCACCATTTTATTTGATGTGTATAGTTTGAAATATTAATTAGTTTATAAATGTAAATATAAATGTAAAATCTCCTTAAGCCTTAACATTTATATTCAGTAAGTGAAGCATAACGATAATTGGTTGCTGTCACTGTTGATATTACTACGGAATCGATCGAGTATTAAAATAAGTAGATTTTAGAAGTGTCCAAATTATTTATCTGGCTAGAGTTATTTGGAGTCGGCGGTTCTTAAGTTTCGATGACTTTCTCTTTTGGCTTGTATATTCTGACATTCGGATAATGCTGTTTTGCATCAGATTTTAATTGCGTATGCAGCTATCTAGCTGTTATACAATGTCGGAGATAAAGTATAGAATAGATCATTCCATTTAAAAATAGGACACTCATGACTTGGATTTCATTTGCAAATACCATCGCGAAGTTATGGTGGCTTTTTCTTCACCTCATATCAGCCCTCATCCGTGAATACTCACACAGGGGAGCGTCTCAAAAACCCTGATTTGTCTAGAAATGCCTCTCTTATTAATTGATCAGTCTTATTGTTATTTTGGGCTATAGGGAAATTGTAATGCAGAGTGATGAGGAGTAGACGATGCTATTAGCTGTTGGTGTGGTGAATAGACTTAAAAATACTTTGCTGTGTGTGTGTGAACAGAAGGTGAATAAGTTGGGTTTCGCACGTTCATGAGGGGGTAAATCTATGAGAATTTATACACGCTCGGCTAATCAATACGCTAGTGGTGTCTGCCGTGGCCTCGAGCTACACTCGATGCCCTGACGTCGTCTATTCATTGATTCATATCATAACAAGTCTCCGCGCGACATGTGGTCTCAGGCGTCTCCTTCCCAGGAGGATTAGGTACACAGACTGATCAAACTAGACAGGAGATAAATACCAGGAGGAGAACCACAGCTCCTTTCATTGTTGGTTTGCTTTTACAGTGTCGCCTGCACTCTCGCAACCGAAGCCTTGGCGCGCACAATGCTCAATTTGTAAAACTGTTATGAAGAATTTAAACCCTCACTCCTTCTAGGGTCGGATGGTCCATTTACACTACCTTATCCACTTATCCAGATTTCTCCAACGTCCATCCTAAATATCTGTAGCCCAGATTTTTGCACCACAATTTGTTTCCTCCGGCGGGTATCCATATTCTTAATGGGCGTGTATGGAGGCCATTTAAGGTCACAGACTAGTATGACGAGAGGTTTGTTCATGTGAATGAGGACATACCAAGTGGCACTTGCAGAGTTGATGAGGCTTGTGTAGGAATCGGTCTCATTGACAGTGAAAGATTGATTTTGTTCGGAGTAGTGAATCGCTGCCTCGCGGGTCAACTTGTTCGGTAACGCGAAATTTGACTGAACTTGGCTCTGGGAGAATATTTCACACCCAGGCTCATGAAGGACACCGCGTACAGGTGTTTATTCTTTGCCCTAAATTCAGAAAACCATACTGCTGATGGATGCCTATAGCCTCATGGTATGCTTGATTATACTAGCTACTGAGTCCCTCAACTACGATATATTCTAGAGAGAGAGGTATGTTTCTTGTACTACTTGAATCGTAGATAATGTAGCAAATTGGGCTCCTCTCTGACCCAGGCCACACCTTGCAAAGTGCTTCTATCCTCTTTTGTTACTTATAAAATTATTGATATATTGCCCGTGATGGGCAGCCATTAAGTTCAGTGTCTACCCACAGAATTCAGCCACCATCGTCATAGCTCAATAGCTGAATACAATATGAATTAAAAAAATAATTTTTAGCCATCTTTTTTGTGGAACCTTCTACCCAAAAATTTTTAGTAATGGAGGCTATGTGCGCAGAAAAATGTCTCGCAAAATCTGCACCTCCAACCAGGCGAGGCCTAGACACCGGGAACACATGAGTTGCGCATTTTCATCTTTAACTTCCTTCTCTGTAACATTAGGGACCTACATAACCCAATCCACCGTCTCCGAATCAGGTGCTGGCATTTCTTCCTTGATCAAGGATTTGTGATGAGGAGGGCTTCGGCCCTGACATCTGATCTGATCGTGGTTAGCTTCATGATGGTGGTGATCAGGAAGTGTTTTGAGAGATTGTGGCTTCTAGTTGGACAGTTTATGATCACAATGATTTCACGCAGGTGTCTCGTGGGTCCGACTTATCATTAATCTAATGTGGGTAGAGCTTGAAACTTAAAATACGTGATTTGATATTTTTCAATACAGGATTGCCAACTTGTCTAAATATTCCCCACGCACCACATGAGCCAATCAACAGCGCAGAATTGCCGGTAAAGACGAATTCTTCACCTTCCAGCGGTGCCGGTGTAATCGTTCAGTATGCTCTGTATATCTGTGATAGCCAAGAAGAATTGCATCCGAATCGAAGTCGAAAGCAACTTCAAGCATATCTCCATTTGACGAATTCTCGACGATGTCTCTCTTATCATTCTCATCTGAGTCCTCAACCTCTTTCTAAACGCCCATCATCTTGCCTCAACGACCGATAAAGACGTCACCCCAATTGCAAACAGGAGCTTGCTTCATTCATTACCGGCCATCACTCACTACATATCTACGACGCTACGTATACCCGCAAGGAGGAAATTAAGTCATAATATACAAAGTTGTGGTCTTAGTTTATGTGAGACTGTTGCTCTAATAGGGTTATACATCCTGAGGAGGGACAGGCGGCTGAGATGCGGAACGGGGGGGGGAACAGGTCTCTGAAGATCATGCTGGAACTGACATCTTCGAGGAGTTTTCAACTTTGGATTTTTTTGTGGGCACCAGGACCAAGATTTCGGCTAATTAGCCAGGAGGGCTTCAATTGTCGATGAGTCAACGGCAATCCCCAGCGCCGTGGACGGCACAAAGAAAGTTAGGCTAAGCTACCATACAGCAATTACGCTCTGTGAAAACTTTTCTGAGATTTCTGCACGATCTTTGGGAAGGAGGCAAGAAAGGCAAAGCGTGAATTTCCCCAGGTACCCACAAGTCTGCAGCACCCAACTGGCCGGCCTCTTCGAATGCTTCAGAAGGGTCACAGTGTCTTCGGATCTAGTCCTAATGTTGGTATTAGAAGAGCCCCGCACCCAGTGGTTTTTGGCATTTTTCCCGGCTGTCATACGCCCGCAAGTGGCCATCGTTTCGTTGGCTGGAGAGGGGAGATAATGAAGGGTTTAGGGCTCCTCTAAGTGTATGATCGAACGAGGACTTGTGAAGGGCAGTATTGTTTGAGGGGAGCTGTATGGGAGGCATAGGAGGGGATATACTACTGGCATAGGTATCCTTGGCCTGTAGGCAGTGAGGACCTGCATGTCCTACATAGTCACAGACTCAGAAAGGACAATAAAATGAATTAATAATAATAAAAACAGCGCAGAATTTACATTATCGGTTTTCCATCAATTGGGATCCACAAGATGAAGACGATGCAGACCACCAATGCGATTGGGAATCTTCATAGATGAAATTTTTTTCTCAATCTTGGCTCTGCAGACTTTACAGTAAGAGCTGTATATTTATAGTGGACACCATTGAAAGGTGTTGAGAATATTCCCCTTAATATATTCTAGAGACTCTAACTTAGATCTGCTTATAAATCAAGTTACAGTACCAATAAGGCTTAGTGACTGATATTTCAGCAATGAAGATCTCGTATTCCACATTAGCAACTACCTTAGTCACCATATCCCCTCATGGATAGGGCTGTAATTGCAGAGAAAGCCGGGTTGACTCTAAAGATTATCAAATAATAGCAACTACGGTGATCTAACGCTTTTAAGCCTGCTGATTTCGAAGTGAGCAGCACCTTCAGGCCATACCAGACGGGAGTCAAGTAAGAGTTATCAGTCCACTAGCCAGAACTACGCTACTTGACGCGAGCACCGAAGTACGATATATTCTTTGCGCAGGGAATAATGACAAAAATTTTCGTCGAAAATTGAATGAACTTCAGGATTCGAGACTTACTCAATCGTCGCCCTTCACGCCACCCTCACCTGTACTATCGCAATTGCATCTACAACTAGCTACCCCTGCGGGCTAGAATAAACTCAAAGAGGGTAATTAATAACATTGTGATGCCTAACAATCATGGCAACAATAACCTAATCCGGTACGGCCCAGGCTCCGGCAAGAGTGCGGAGTTTGGGTTGGGAACGGAGGAGGAGAGTCGTTGCGCACTCACAAGTCGTTTATAAGTCTGGGTTCGCCTCAGCAAAGAAACATTCTGCCACAAATCTGACCCTCATCATAGCAACAAGACAAGGAAACATGGCCTACCGTATAGAGAGGGCATGCCCGCGAGATATGGCGAATGAAAGAGGGGTAAATATCATAGATGAG